CTATACTCCTCAGTGCCATCTAGGGGCCCTAGGGGCTAACAGCATCCTCCCAGTTATACTAAACCCACATGTGTAGCAGGGCCCCACAGCAAAAATATTAAAAATACCCTTTGCTGTACACTAGATCAGTGCTTGTCAACCTTTTTTCAGTCACGGTCCCCTTTTACAATAGTAGCCCCCCTTCACATTAGGAGCCCTCAGCTTCACATCTGAGTCCTACCTGCACAGGAAGCAATAGCTTCTTTGCTATCTGCAGGTTTTTTTTTAGTATTCTGACAGTTGCAGTCAGAATAAAATTTTAAAAAAGCATAGGAATGCATAGCTAGATTTCTATTGGCTATTTCACTTTGCAATAGCCAATAGCAAACTAGCTATTGCTCCCGCCCTCTGCTGCTTTCAATCACCAGAAGACTTCAGGTCCCCCTCTGCTGGTTGACAGCAGCAGTGGGCGGGTGCATTAGCTAGTTTGCAATTGGCTATTGCAAAGTGAAATAAACAATAGGAATCTAGCTATGCATTCCTATGCCTTTTTTTTCTGACTGAAGGCGGACCGCGGCCCTGATGTCAGAAAAGAAAAAAAAAAACAGAGCAGGGAAAGGTTTACTCTGCTCGATCGAGCAGAGTTACCTTTCCGGGAGGAAGTGTCTCTCTCCCGGGCGGCCGGAAGCCGATATCTAATAGCGAGAGACTCCTGGAGCGTCCGGTAGAGTTGGGATGTCTGCATTACAAAATTTTGAGGCACCCATGAGGAAGCCAGAAGGCAAGGTTGAGATCCCTGGTTGAGAAAGGCTGCACTGGGGCCTAGAAGAAAAAGATCTCTGCATCAAAGAACTCATATCTGTTCACCTCAGTACAGTAGTTGGTAACATTCTAATATCGCAGGGGCACCCTTGGCCATCTTAGTTGGACTGTTGCATTGTTCTGCCTCTCCTTTCTCTTTGTATTCTTCCCTACTTCGTTCCCTTTCCCCATTTCTTGTCATTAGCTGTGGTCACAGGCTACTGAACCAGAGCACTTAAACGGACACCCAAAAATATCTAGCAACACCAATGCTGCCACCATACCTTATATTTTTCCTGAGAAATGTCATTGCTCTTAAAGAGTCACAACTTTTTGGCACGTTATCAGCTGCATCATAACACACATTATAACGTGTTATGGTAATGCAATGTATATGTGTGCTGGGGTGAGCTGACATTGTAAACTGCCCCCAATGCACATACACAGCATGCTGCAGCACACCAGCACTATGGTGCAACCACAACGCACAGATGCAAATGTTCTGTGCGCTGCTTTAGGCTGCAACTTAAAACCTAGAGCAGATGCAGTGTTCTCATACCTTGGGATTCATTTACAGCCCATTCTCAATAAATAGGCGACACAATGCAATGCACCTCTACTTGCAATGCAAGTAGAGGAGAGTCAGTGAATGTTCAGTAAATAAGATGAAGCTGTGTTCACTTTCAATACCCAATCATGTGCAAGGCAGATTTTTTTTTTTTTTTATGGATTTTTGCTTACATATTATTGGATGATTTTAAGTAAGCACAGCTTCACCTTCTTCTTCTTATTATTATTATTATACAGGGTTTATATAGTGCCAACACTTTGCGCAACGCTTTAAACATATGGGGAGACAGTACAATTACAATATACTAAACCATACACAAGGAGTAGAAGGACCCTGCTCGTGAGAGCTTACAATCTACAATTATTTACTAAGCTAAGAGAACATACAACTTTACAAAGTGAACATGTTCTATTCCTTTAGTAAACCCCCCCAATACGTATGCTCCCTTCACCCAGAAGCATTGTTTCCATATTATCTGCTATCATATCAATGATTTGTAAACAGTCTAACAATGGCCACAAACCTATCGATAAGATAATAGAACATTCAATGCAACTAAACTGATTGAATTGAATGAAAATTCCATTAGATGGACTCCAGCTGACCATGCATTATGCGAATTGTCGCACAGTGGGTGCCACTGTCTGCACCCTTTCGGCCAGCATCTGCCTATTAGTTGATCGAAGGAGCTGGTCAGAAATCTTTGAACGAACAGAGCCGGCAGCCAATGGGCTGCCAGTGGCCGCTGTCAGAATACACTGAAGACATTGGTAGATTCCTTGATCAACGAGCTGGTAAGCGTCGATGGAGGAATCTGTTCTATTTTTTTCGTTTAGCCCACAGGTTGAAAGAAAAAAATAGAACAGTGTATGGCAAGCTTTCATCTCTGCTCTCAACTCCGCCAAGTCGATCAGCCGCGATGGAATTTTGTTGATCACTTCTGATCGATCAAAAAATATCTATGATATCTATTTGATCGGAAAGTGCAGAAAAAAACAGTGCACGCTGCATCGTTCAATATTTTAATTGCTGATTAATCGCTTGTTTGCAATCGCTCGTACCTAAACCCGTCACAAATTGCTTCATGTGTGGCCACTTTAAGGTTGCATGGGACCCAAGTGAGAAATGTAAACACTGTGTACCACAAAATGGATTCTCAATGTTTCAGAATCATTGTACACTGACTCCTATATGTGATCCAACTACATTGGAAGAGGGGACAATGAATGGGGCACAGCCCGGGGTCCACCATGACCACCCACCATACATATTATCCAATATGGCTTCTGCTGATTTAAGATTGACCAATATTCTATATTATTCCATAAAGAAAAGTCACCATTCAAGATGATTTTTTCTAGATTAATCCTTCACAGAGAGAGATCAATGCGCTCCGGCTGTTCCTCTATGCAAGAACCGTTCTGATCAGCCACAAGATCGCTCGCTATGTGGCCTTTAATTCAGTGTTATTTACCCACAAGGTCTCCTTGCAGTCCGATCACCCCGTTTCCCTCCCGTCCTTACCTGGAGGATAGTACCGGAGGAGAAACCTCTTCAGCCGCATCTCTCCGCCAGACTACTGGGTCCACGTTACCATGGATACATGAAACATTGCTTCAACGCATGCGCGTCATTCACTTTTACGGGCGCACGCGCACTCGGAGAGCTTATAGTAGTAACGGGCGAGTTGTGGAAGTAGTGAAGTGGATGATGTGTTCTGCTTGGTAGGAAGGTTGTTATTTAGTAAATGACCTGCATGAAACATTACTACAATAATCTTCTGAGGTGCAGAAATAAACCTCATGGTTCCAAAATACTTACCCCTTCCTGTGATATCTACCACAATGTTAGAAAAAGAGCTCAGCACAATAATTTACCTCTTATACTAAGATGGCAGAGATATCTGGAAGAACAGTTTACACCAGGGGTAGCCAGCCTTTGGCACTCCTGCTGTAGTGAAACTACAAATTCCAACATGCCTTTGCACATGGAGGTCATCACTGTGGCTGTCAGACTGTTGCAATGTCTCATGGGACTTGTAGTTTCACCATAGCTGGAAGGCCATCGTTTGACTACCCCTGCTTTTCTGACGTCTGCAGCCAGATTAAAACAAACAAACAACAGATAGCAGGAGAATCAATAGCTAGGCTGCTATTGGCCATTTCAAATTGCAATAGCCAATAGCAGGCTGGCAATTGCACCCGCCCACTGCTGCTGTCAATCAGCAGAGGTGAACCTAAAGTTCTCCTTCAGGTCCTCCTCTGCTAATTGACAGCATCAGTGGGAGGGTGCAATAGCCAGCCTGCTATTGGCTATTGCAATTTGAAATGTCCAATAGCAGCCTAGCTACCCATTACCCTGCTGTCTGTTGTTTTTTTGTCTATTCTGACAGTGGCCAGCAGCCAAGGGAATGCAGGGGGCTGCAGGGTTGGTTTTAATTTTTTTATGTGTTTTTTTTTACTTTTTAGCACTTTTTAATATTTTTTTAAAATTTTTATCCTGGGCCAAGCTTCAGTATCTTGCTAGTCGGCCCCGCTGTCTCTCAAAATACCTGGACAATCTGATTGGATGCAGGCATTGTTCCGGTGCAGGATACTTAAGCTTGGCCCAGTGGGAGATTCCTCCATCCACACAGTTTAGCGTAGATGGAGGAATCTGGAGATGTCACTTTTTCCATCTGACTATAGAAAATCTGCAGATAATCTATAGGTGTATGACCAGCTTTAGGAAGTATCCACAACCTGAGTAGAAAACCTGTGCTCTGCCAGCACCCTTGCTCTCTGTGTGGAAGCAGTGGTCTCTCTGCAGAGGTCTGACAACCTCTTTACTGAGTCAAAGGTAAAGCTCCCCATTCTGCAGGGAGCATGAGCTACGCTGACTGCACAGCTATAAGTCTGGCTCAGCAAAGGGCATACTAGTGCCCCTAAATGTCACTGACAAGTATAGAAAACTCTGTACTCTTCATCACCGTCTAGGGCCACTAGTGTTGTGCGAGCGGCATCCATCCAGCTATACGCCAGACGAAACCTTTATAAATGAACCCCTAAGCGTCCTTCCCTGCAGTTTGCTGGCAAGGGACAGGCTTTTCTACTCTAGCTGTGGCTGCTTTCCAAATAAAATGAACTGTTTTGATGCACCCGGATGTAATGTGCACTTTTGGATTTGGTGGTTCGTCGCAGCATAATTGTTTATTTCATCAAAAGAAACGAGTGAAAAGGTTTTTCCCTTTTCATTTGTATCGTCTGAAACAAATTTTTATGCTGTGCACGTCTAAAAAATATTCTTCCGACCTGTCTCATTGTCACAGGTCAGCTAGAACTATGAGGTGAGTGAAAAGCACTCACCTCATAGTTCTCCTTTAAGCAAGAATGGTTGCTAGAGTCAACATTCATATTTTCCTGCATACTTTTCCTACATTCTCTTCTTGGTCTTACAACATTCGCATCGAGATGATTACTATCCAAAATGATCAGTCCATGTTTGCCGAAGGTTTTGAAATCCTTGCAAAGCTGAGAATCCTCATTGTGTATCCCTGCTCCTCCCATGTGATGTATGACAGTGTACTTTACCCTCCTCAAAGTGCTACACCTTCAGCTCAGGGCACATTGCTGACTCCAGAGAGTGGAGACGTCTGAAGTCTCAGCCAGTCATGGGGTTATGTAGAAAGGCGACCCAGCCTGGGTGGATATACCACACCACCCTCCTGTGCATTTATGGATTTTTTACCTCCATGAGACCCTCAGAACCTTTCCTGACACCGTACCTGACAGGACCAGAACACAACCTGACACTGGAACAGGTAATGTGAGCTTAAAGTAATCATCACTTGAGCCTGTATTCTAAATGATTTGAAAATATTGCCTCGTATGCACGTCTTTAAAGTGCATTTCCACGTTTGCAGCCAAATTGGGATAACACCTATTTTATATTTGTTATATTGTCCCATTCACATAGTATAACAAAAAAAGGGAAAATCGCTGATTACATTTTGAAGCGCTTTATACTTGTTTTAAAGGTTTGGCTTACTTTCTGACCATGTTTTTACACCCACATTTAGGTTGTAACATGAAACATGGTCACATCGTGCCCCCTGCAGGCTTATTTACATTTTTGAATTTGGTGCATCTGTGCATGGCTCCACCCACACAGCCGCATCATCCATTCACAGATCCTTTGAAAGTCCCGTCAGCCTCTGTAGTTCTCAATGGAATACATGTGCAGTGATGTCAATGCACTTGTAGTTCATTAAAGGAGAACTATGAGGTGAGTGCTTTTCACTCACCTCATAGTTCTAGCCGACCTGTGACAATGAGACTGTCACAGGTCAGCTCAGTAGATCGGGAAGTGAGCGAACACATACCGGCGTTCGCTCACTTCTCGATCCTGTCACAGCTCTCTGCCGTGACAGGGGAGTGGCTGGATTCCCCCCCCTCCCAGCTCCGATCTTCCAGCGCTGACTGGCGGAACGGACGGGGGAGGGGGCGGGTACAGCTGGCTCTGCCTCTAGATAGGCAGAGCCAGCTGTCACTCACGCAGCTGGGCGGATCCAGACATCGATGTCGGGATCCGCTCCGGCTGCGGCTTCTCAGTATACCGCGAGCTGTAGCTCGCGTTATACTGAGCTTAGGGTGACAGGAGGACGCTAGTTTGTGTCCTCCCGTTACCCTAAGGAGAACTATAGGGAAAAGCCCTAACCCCATAGTTCTCCTTTAAGGCATCAGCATACCAAGACATTTTGGACATTTTCATGCTCCCAACTTTGTGGGAACAGTTTGGGGATGGACCCTTCCTGTTCCAACATGACTACACACCAGTGCATAAAGCAAGGTCCATAAAGACATGGATGAGCGAGTTTGGGGTGGAGGAACTTGACTGGCCTGCACAGAGTCCCGACCTCAACCCGATAGAACACCTTTGGAATGAATTAGAGTGGAGACTGCGAGCCAGTCTTTCCCGTCCAACATCAGTACCTGACCTCACAAATGGTCCAACATTCCCATAGACACACTCCTATACCTTGTGGACGCCTTCCCAGAAGAGTTGAAGCTGTATCGGCAAAGGTGGGCCAACTCAATATTGAACCCTATGGACTAAGACTGGGATACCACTAAAGTTCATGTACGTGTAAAGGCAGGCGTCCCAATACGTTTGCCAATATAGTGTATCTATATATAAATATATACAGTATATATATATATATATACACACCATCCCGCCCCCCATGGCTGGCCGTTAGCTTCTACCTGGATGAATCATGGTTTTACTTGTTCTCACTACACGCCTTATTGTATTAACAATTTATTCTTCTCTTGCACCATATTTATTTTGAAGGGAAGAATAAAAAAAAATATTCAACGAACATTCAAGCGTACTAACGATTGGAACAGGATGGCTCAAACTAGAGTGTAGGAGTGTAGCCTGTCCCCAGTACAGGTTTTCTACTGTATGTAATCATGTAACAGGTAAATGGATTGATAAGAGCTCCCTGTTCTCTATACGATTGCAGTCCATATCTTTTACTAATGGCGTGCTTTATGTTGCAGAGGAAATGGGTAAGTAAGCCTTGGCTGTTGCTGTTTTTGTGTGAAGCTGAGCCACGCAACACTCATATTTTATGTCATGTTTTCAGCACTGTACATTTACACTGAGATCTTCTAACCCACCCCTGCCCCTCCTGAACTAATCTACACTAACACCTCCCACCCCAGCTTCTTACTTACCTTTGTACCAGAGTCATATATTGTGCAGTGATGACTAAAGCTAGAATCCTCTGCAATGCTGCACACTGAACCCTCATGAACCTGTATGTGGCCACCCCAGGAAGGAGCTTCAGCATTTGACTTGTTTGTCCTTCCATTGGCTTCCATTTACAAAAAGAGTAGCCATGGGGTGCAAACCTACTGACCACTGGTGATCCGCAGACCACAGTTTGAGAAACACTGCCCCAGACTGTCAGCTCATATGGGCAGAGCTGTCTCTTAGGCCGGGTTCACATCTGGGCGTTTTTCAGCGCTGACCGAAGCGCTGAAAAACGCTCAGCAAGTGAAATACCATTATTTCCTATGGGCATGGTTCCCACCTGGGCGTATTTTAGCGCGTCGAAACGCGCTGAAAAACGCCCTACGCCCAAACAAGTACAGGAGCTTCTTTGGGGCGTATTTCCGCGCGTATCCATTAGGATACAGCCGGATAGCTCTCATAAACGCGCGTTTGACGTGCGTTTCGTGGACCGCAAATCACTGTAAAAACGTGCGGCCGAAACGCGCGTCATACGTGCATATTTTGAATGCCCAGGTGGGAACCCAGCCTTACTGTAGTGTGTTATTGCTTTATTCAATTTGTTATAAAGTTGTATGTTCATGGATTTTCTTACAGTGCCATGGAAGCTGATGGTGCTAAGTAAATTGTTTATAATAATAATAATGTGCCTTTCCCTTCTGTGAAATTATACTTTCCATACCATTTGGTACTCACCAATCGGCAAAGTACCCTTAAAACTTACCTCTTCAGACAAGTTGATCTAATATATTTATAGTACATGCCTGTTGGCACTTATTCTTTAATATATCTTCCCTTTTCTCAATCAGTGACATTCGCCAGCAACTTCCTTCATTGCATCACCTATATCCATAGCTGGCTTTCCTTTAGCAAACCTAAATCTAAACATTGAGGTCCATCTAGTTTCAGACTTTGCACTTGGCCTAATTTGCATTGATGATTAATTAGCACTTAACATGAATAGAAGCCAACTTTCCAGAAATGTGGTTATCCTATGTGCAAATGGGTTATGTACTCCTCAGCATTGTCCTTTTGTATTCACGCAGGATGTGCTGGAAGTTCCTTATTAACAGCTGTAAAACTTACATAATGTTGTTATGGGGAATCCCTTGTTCAGCAGTTTATCAGTGCAAAGTGTATCACAGTTGTTAAATGGTTTTGTAGATAAGGAAGCACGCTAGCATAGTCGGGTGATATGTGATTAGTCGGCTAGGGATTACTTGATCTAACGTCTTTCCCTCTGGTCTAATCACAGGGACTCACCAACACACACTATAGGGTCCAATATCAATATGTTGTTTATATATTTGTGAAATGTCACATTACGTCATCAAAGGCTAACGTTTTGGGACCTCGCAGGGACCCTTCATCAGAGCGACACAGTGACCCTCTGGTCTCACATCCGATCTCCAGGCTGGCACATGTTTCCCTCATTGCTATAGCTATCTCATAGAAGTAAATTGCGATGGCCATTTTGGAATGGTCCCAGTCCATTGCTGGTAAGCTGTCAGGAACAGAGTCTCCTCTATGGACAGTAAACAGTATTTGTAAGATAGTAAACAACTGCTGCCACCTCGTTCACACCTGAACGTTTTGTAGCGCGCTCTACGCTCGACTAACGCTCTACGAAACGCTCAAAAATATAAATCCCATTGTTTTCAATGGGTCTCGTTCCTACCGTGGCCTATTTCCGCCCGTCCCTAACGCGCAACAAAACGGCCCACGCCTGAAAAGGTCCAGGTACTACTTTGGGCCGTTTTGTTGCGCGTTTCCATTGGGATACAGCCAAGTAGCCTTCGGAAACGCGCGACGGTCACGCGACTTTTTTACCGCGAATCGCGGTAAAAAAAACGCGCGACAGACGCGCATATGCAATACGCCTAGGTGTGAACGAGACCTTACATGTAAAAATGTCAGTTTTGGCAAAATTGAAACTGTCCTGCAGTACATCTACGCAGAATGTAGCACAACAATGTTTGAGGTGACTACATACCCAAAATGCTATTCTTTGTGTATGCTGTGGCCAGATGGTGGATTTATTTACCTATTCTTAACAAGCAGTAAATTAGCTTTAAAACAATTCCTTGCTCTGTAGTTGAAGACACTGTGGAGTAATTCATCCTAAGTGAAGTTTTTCAAGTTGGGTCTCAGCCCGCTGCTCTCCCGCTCCTTCTGTGCACTTGCTCTGTTTTTACAATAGAGTTGCCAAAGTTAAAGTTGCCAAATCACTGCTAGGAGCGGGGAGCATGGTGAGCTGAACTACTAAAATGAAGCTGAAAGTGTTTCTAGTGTAAACTTGGAGGATTGATTGCTTCACAGTGCCTGTGGCTACAGAGATCAGTGAGAGCTTGTTTTAAAACGCTTGTTAAGAATATGCAAATATTTGAATGCCCATAGCCTGGCCTTACGTGTCATGGTCTGTTTATGATTCTTGTCTGTGTGCTTCTCCTACAGGTGACAAACTCTGTGTTCCCAGTATGGACGTACAGTTACTTGGCAATATTATTCCCAGTTTTTGTACTTACAGACTACTTAAGATACAAACCTGTCATAATCCTACAAGGCCTGAGTTACATAATCTCTTGGGTCTTGTTGCTGTTTGCCCGTGGAGTGCCAGCAATGCAAGGCCTTGAGTTTTGCTATGGGATGGTGACTGCTACAGAAGTGGCCTATTACTCCTACATCTACAGTGTGGTTGACACAGAACATTACCAGAAGGTCACCAGCTACTGTCGGAGTATAACCCTTGTGGGTTTCACAGTTGCCTCTGTGTTGGGCCAACTTCTGGTTTCCTTGGCTGGAGTTTCATACTTTTACCTTAATGTAATTTCCTTGGTATCCGTGTCAGTTGCTTTTCTGTGCTCTTTGGTACTCCCAATGCCAAAAAGGAGCATGTTTTTTCACCGGAAAGAAACAGGAGATGCGGCTGGGAAGAAATCTGGAGATTCAAAACCCTCTGTGAATAACATGGAGGCACCACAATGTGGAGAACTACAAAACTGTGAAATAACAACAGAGCCAGACACAAAAAATGAGAACATTGAAACAAACGTCTGCAAGATGTTATTGCTACTATTCAAAGACATAAAAGAGTGCTACTCTTCATCTCAGCTCATTTATTGGTCATTGTGGTGGGCCCTTGCAACAGCTGGCTACAACCAAGTGATTAACTATGTTCAGATTTTGTGGGAACACGTAGAACCCGCTCAGAACTCAACAATATACAATGGAGGAGTAGAGGCTGTGTCTACATTTCTGGGTGAGTGGATTACATTTATGTTATTTATTGTTATTTAATTAAGTTCAAAGTATTGGTCTTTTATTTTCCTTTCCTAGAGTTTTGTAAGGCTAATGTTCCATACTTATTAATTTACATATGAATGTGAATAACATTTGCGTATAGTTTATTGGAGAGATTTACAATGTGTTCCTTTGCATTGTCTGCAACAAAGCCAATGGGAACCAAAAAGGTAAATGATCGGTTGCATGCGGCACTTCTTGCACCTTTAGTGAGTACGTCCACTTTTAAAGCTGAATTCCAGGCAATTGTTTAAATGTACAATATAGTGTATATAATGCAGGGTTCATGGGTATGTAATAAACAGAATGGAAGGTTTGGCAGTATGTAACGTGCAAAGCGCAAGAGTTGGGAGTGCATAATGCACAGTGTGCAGGGCTCAGGAGTGCATATTGCACAGGGCGCAGGGGTCAGGAGTGGGTAAGACACAGAGCACAGCAGTCATGAGTGCTTGAGGCACACAGAGTCAGGGCCGGCCTTAGGCCTTTAGGCGCCCTGTGCGAGAAAGCTTTACAGCGCCCCTCAGTGGCCACACCCTTTAGTGGCCACGCCCCCGTAACCACACCCATTTCCCCCAATATATGCACCATTTAAAGACTCCTATTTTGTTAAGCCGCAAAGAAACATATTAAAAAGTGTGATAAAAATAAAACTTTTATTCAAAGGTATTAAACTTGTAGGCACAATAGAAGTATTCTTATCAAATAAAACAACAGAAGGTAAACAATAAATGTCAAAATACAATAGAGTCTATAAAAATAAAGTGTCAGGTCGTCATGCTGACCCCTTTTTTCAAGTAAGTGCATCTAGAAAAGTAAAAATAAAAAACAGAACACAGACCCCGGGCTACATGTAAATGAAGCCAGGGGTCTGTATTGTATTCAGACACATAATAATAATAATTTGTTTGAGAATGTGCGGCGGCCATGTTGGCCACCAGCGTGTTCTCTGAATGCGTGCCACCATCTTGGAGGCAGGGAGCATGACGTTACATGACGCCATGCATGCGTGGCGTCAGGTGACCTCACACGCCGATATTGGCCCCACCATCTTGGTGTATACCTAGTTATACACCAAGATGGCGGCGCCCAACACGTGCGGTGTTATATGACGTCATGCGCCCCGCCTCCAGAACACGCCAATGGCTGAATCCAAAATAGCATATAAAATTGTTTTGTTTGATGAAACAAATGAAATCTGAAATTTATTTTTAGCCTTCGCACATGTCTAAATTTTT